ATGAAGCTTCAAAACCCCGTAGACTGTCAAACAATCTCAATGTGAAGAATTCTGCAGACCCTCTGGGACCATCACATGAAATCCCCGTGGACTACAATTACAGGGAACTGTTCGCCTTGCATGATCCATCATCAGTGGATCACACCTTGCATCATTGCATCATCCCATAAATCAAAGGCACAGAACAGAGGCGTTGCGAATGGTAAACCCTAAACCCTTAACCCTTTTGGGAATTGGTGGCCTGTTGATTGGGTTAGCCTGCTTGCCCGTACACGCTAGGATCATTCCGAAAGGATTCGCGGGGGGAGAAATATTGGTACCCTAAGGGTCCAAGGGGTCCCTTTAAAGGGGTTGTAGGGGGATATATAGGGATATATGGGGATTATATTTAAGGGTCCAAGGACCCAGATCAGATGGCTTAGGGCCCAACAATCGTTAATGTTACAGTATTTGGGCACTAAAGCCCTAGTATTTGGGTTCTTCAAACCTTAGGGGTAGTTATCTTGGCTTCCCACATCAATATAATTTCTATAAACCTCAAAGTTACCCAAGTCTCCACTTAATCTTTGCTTGTAATTCTCTGTTCTTCCAATAGATTCATATATTTTGTTCACGCCCCAAACACCAAATTACGGAGTACTTGGACCTGTCAAGGGTCAGCTTTCCAAGCAAGCCTAAATCCCAAACCCTATATCCTAACCTAAACCCTGAATCGTAAACCCTAAATGCTACACCCTAAATCCTAAGCCCTAAACTCTACATATCCTTACTAACACCGAAGTAAGATCCAGGCTGTCGAGGCCAATTTGTTGAGAGCGCGAGTCGCCTGACATATCTGACGCCCGCCAGGAGACGAAACTTTAGCAAAGGGATTTTAATGGGGTTTAGGGTTTAGGGTTGAGGGTGGAACCCCAAACAGGGAACCGCAAGAATATAGAAGGAATATAATAGAAGATAAGAACCTATATTCCTATTATATTCCTACTATATTCTTGGGGTTCCCTGTTTGGGGTTCCCATGCAAGTACCTGCATTTAGCGATTTGGCTGTGCGTAGAGGTTCGGGGTTCAAATATATGAGCTACAGTCTAAACTCCTTGCATCCCCCTAAATAACCCCTATAATAGTCCCGTATATAATCCCCCATATAACTCCCTTTAAGGAGTTTAGACTACAGCTCATGCAGGATTTAGGGTTTAGGGTTGGGGGCCAGAAGTTGGGAATCCAGGGCGTAGGATTTCAGGATTTATGCTATAGAATTTCGGGGTTGGGGATACTCTAGCGACCCTCGCCTAAACCACCATGGAATCGCAGAATAGGCTCCTTTTTTTACAAGAACGGCTCTCTATGAAGAGCCCCCTTTCAGGTGCTGTGAGATCCCACACATTCGTGACTGCCTGGGACATTCTGCCACTCAAAAAATCTAGGGACTTTAGGAGGGACCCCTATTAGGGACCCTTAAGCCCATTATCATATATAACCCTTATATGGTCATTCTATAACCCCTATAGCCTAGGTAGTCCCCATATTAATCCCCATAAGCTACAAGGGTCCCTATTAGGGGTCCCTCCAAAAGTCCTTAGAAAAAAGACTTCTTGATTCATACTCCCCATGCAGCAGGGGAGTTGAGCCATACCCTGACCGTCACTGCTTGTCAACGTTCGTGAGGTTTTAGGGTTTAGGGGAATGAAGGGCCATGGAACAAGATACCCGATGGATCGGGGTATGGAACAGACGTTCGCGCACACCCGGCTCCATACCCGAACAGTTTGGAAAACTGACTTTTAGGAGTTTCCATACACAAAATGCAATAATCCTTGTTTACAATGCGCCCCTGATGCTCGGAAAACCCCCATACAAACATAGTACCTTATCTCCAGAGCTCCCTAAATCTAAACCCCAAATCCTAAACCCTAAAACCCTACACCCTAAACCCTGAACCCCAAACTCTAAACCCTAAACCCCTAACCCTCAATCCCTAAACGCTAAGTCCCTAAACCCTACACTGCAAACCCCAAATCACTCAACCCTACCCCTACACCCTAAACCCTGAATCCTACACCCTAAACTCTAACCCTAAATCCCTAACCCTAAATATTCAACGAAGAGCCCTGCCACCTCACCCAATGCGGCGGGGCCCGAAGCCATCGGCCTTAGTAGCGAAGCTCCATGAAATCCCAGGTCCCTGCTGGATCAACATAGGGTTTTAGGGTTTTATGGTTTAGGGTTTAGGGTTAGGGTTTAGGGTTTAGGGTTTTCGGGTGTAGGTTTTAGGGTTCAGGGTTTAGGGTCTAGGGTTTTAGGGTCTATAGGTCTAGGGTTTTAGGGTTTAGGGTTTAGGGTTTATAGTAATACCAGGTTTAAAGGGACAATGGAAAAGAAAATGGAAACTACTATAATAGGTTATATTGGGATTATAGGGTATATATTGGGGTTATATATTAGGGTTTAGGGTTCTTAGGGTTTAGGATTTATGGGGTTTAGGATTTCGTGTCGAGGATTTACAGAGTTTAGGATTTAGGGGTTGAGGGGTGTCTAAGAACTAGATTACATACAGATAGCCAGGATCATTGAGTCCTATACAAGTTTCTAGACCCTTTTAGGGTCTGGGACGCCTTGCACCTTTCACTAAGTTTGTCTTCTGAAAAGTATGAATGGAGGCTTTGTGAAAATGGTTTAGAGTCTCAAGTTTACATAGAGCTAAAGTTTACATAGAGCTACGGGTATGAGCCTACAACAGCGACAACAGAAGCTTTGCGCCCGCACTTCCAATTCCAAAAAATGCCATTGGTTCTCTTAAGACCTTATTTGCTCTTGCTCTTCCTAGTCTATGTCAGCGTACTGTAACCCCTCGTGAATACATTGGACTCGACAGTACCTTATGAGAGAAGTGTTCGAATTATCTCAGAAACCTAAACCCTAAACCCTCATAGGGCAGGGACCCCATCAGCAACTCGTGACCCCTATAGATCCCTGAGATCCATCAGAATCCTCCGCTATGGAGGCACCGGTGCTGTCTACTGGCAGCCGAAGGCGCTTGAATTTGAAGAATCCCCCTTCCTACAATAACCATATCATCACTCTACACTACCCAGCTTTTCCAGAAATGGGATTCCCTCGTATACCCCCAAATACTGGAATCCTTATGGTAGGGGCCTTCTAGAAAGGGACCAGTAATGCTTGAAAACTCCCACCCATGGATTCTTGCACCACTTTCTTGCAGTACTGTTGATGGGCAGAATCTCAAGGAGTTTTTCCTAGTACCCTTGGGTTTGGGTCCCTAAATCATGGAATATGGCCCTTAATAAGGGTATTTGGGACCCAGAACCTAGGGGTACAAAAGTTTTTGAGAATCCGTCCTGCTAAGGGGAAGGTTTAGGGCTTAAGGCTGGGGCTCTGCAATCATACTCGCAGGGTTTAGGGTTTAGGGTCACGCACAGCCTTGTTCATCAGCAGCTACGCCCCTAAACCTGAAACCCTAAAACCTAAACCCTAAACCCATCCCCAAGGTCTCCGGCGGCAGGGGGTTGTGGCGGACTGCGGGCCCTCCCGGGGAGTTCTCCGGCGGCGGAGGAGCCTTTGCAAGCTTACTGGTGTTGAAGGGGGCTACATAAGGGATTATATAGGGTTTAGTAGGGTTTAGGGTTTAGAGTTTAGAGTTTAGGGTTTAGGGATTAGGGTTGAAAACTTCTTGAAAAACTGACGGGGAGGGAGTGGGAAGTAGATCCCCAAAAACTTTCGAAACAGAATCCTATTGGGGTGAAGGGCTTCTGGGCGGCTCTTGGGTTTAGAGTGTGAGGTTCATAGATTTGGTGCTTGCCAGCTGAAGGGTGAAACCCTAAACCCTAAACCCTAAAACCCTAAACCCTAAAACCCTAAAACCCTAAAACCCTAAAACCCTAAACCCTAAAACCCTAAACCCTGGGACAAGAGGGAGGAGGGCCTGGCCTTATTATCTTGAACCAAAACCCTAGGGCTCCAGTTACCTAAATAGTAGGTTACTGGGCTATGTAACTATAGGGTATATAGAACACAGTTCCCATTATTTAGGTACCTGGAGCCCTAGGGAAAGTCACCCTTCCTGGAGCAACAGTTTTTGGGCGCATCTACAGCGTCTTACCTCTGATGCCCACTTCCACCCTCTCATGTTGATACTTGTCGAAGTCGTAGACTGAAGGTGGGTGGCTCGGCAGTGGTTGTCCCATCGAGATGAATGCAGCAGCCCACTTTCAGCCAGTAGCAGAAACATGGAGTAGGTTGCTCACGTGTCAAACCTTTAACTAACGGTGACATGTTTGAAGTGGCATCCTGGTCGCATTCGTCAATGTGGTGGCACAACCTGCAGCGGCACCAGCATCAGCACCAGACCCAGCACCAGCACTAGCAGCATCAGCACCACCACACGCAGCGCCACGAGCTGTCTCCATCGCACAGCGATGATCATCACGTGAGGATCCTCGCCAAGATTTTCATCAACAGCGTCATCTTCAAACGTCCTTCAACACAGTTGCTAGCAGCAGCGTGGAACATGTCTAAATGCAAGAACAGAGCTCCTCCTCGGCCACCCTTACTTAGAAATCGACCAATCGCATTAAGAAAAAACACAAGCCAAATCACGGAACTGGTGATGTGTTGAACTTGTCACACACACACACCATACAGCCCACACAATTAGACTTAAATCTTACTCGGAAGGACAAAAGTGAAGTCAGGCACAAACACACTGAAGCCTTGTAAGTGACTGAAGGTAGTCCAGAATTCTTACATGGGGTATACCAAAATTTGGGGTACCTTTTTGGGGGTCCCTATAACAGGGATCATCGCATTTTCATGGCAGACCTAGAAGAAGAAGTAATGTAATAGCACTACAGGGTCCTGGGGCGGCGTGTGGTTCAAGCGGTAGCCTAGGAGGACTGAAGGGAGTTCTGAAAGCGGTGGGGAGCATTGGGGAGTACTTGTTGAAAACCCCGAAAATAGAACTGTGCACCCATAGGTAAGAATCTCAGACGGCCTTGTCATCATCTTCTGGCAAACCACGCCTCAGTCGTGCTGTTGGGTAAGGGTTTCAGGGCTTCGGGTCGTAGGGTTGAAGGCTTTTAGACGCGCCTATCATCTCCACAGTTATCCAATGTGCGCAAGCATTCTCACAACTAAGTTCTTGAGTACGAAAGCTATCAGCCATCACGACTACGTTCAGTGGCTTTAAAGCTTATCCACATGCAGGCACCTTCGCTAAAAAAAATAACTTCAGCTTACTGCCCAAATGCCCACAAGCTTCTGAACTAAGATCTGCTGATTTGTTGAGCCCAGTTTCTGTCTCAAACATGGTCCCTTGATCTGAACACTTGCCACTAAGGTCTCCCACCATATACGCCCAAAACCTATTTCGAGCCATGTCCCAAAAAGGGGCGGCTTAGGGTTTAGAGTCATCCTGCAGGTTCCTTTGACGTCTTTTTTCTTCTCGTTTGTGTTTGCACCACTTTCCCTGGTCACTTTCACAGAATCTAGTTGCTTCCCCCAAAAGTAGTACGAACCGAAAAGAAACCAGCACGAATTCTCGATAACTGTTCGTGCATGTCTTGCGCTAGCAATGTGTCAAGGCAACGTGTATCTAGTACACTAGGGCCTTAAGGGTTCTTTTGATGTTGATGATGCGATGCTGGCTTATGTTCTTTCATGCTGGTCGAGAAGATCACGCGCTCGCAGAAAAGCGGGGGCCTTGGGATTTTCCTTCAGCGGGTCTGCTCCAACATCACTTTGTACATGCCCAGTAATTTTTGCATACATCGAAAAGTTAATTTCTGGGGACCACAGGAGCGAGCCAAACGACTAACTCGTCCGATATAATCTTCATCTTGCCAACAGCTGTAGCCTCGTTTGGGCATAAAAGGGCAAATCCGGATCTATAAAGAGATTGGGAGCTAATAAGGTTAAATTTGAAAAAGGTCTTAGGGTGCAGTTAAGGAACAAAGGCTATTCAGCGCCAGCTCTTCCCCTCGCAAAAGGTCCAGGGATTGATGTTGCCCCATATGGAGTTTGGGGCGGATGCGAAACAGTTTCCAATTTCTTCGCTTTGCAGCAGCTGCAAGCATACCAAATCCTTCCTTAGAGTCCGCGGATATACATGCAGCTAAAGGCCCACATGTACATTAATTGGCCAACAAAATGCTACCTATCAAAAGTACGTACAATAGGAATTCCAAGCTGCTTCCATATATTGCCCTGCAGCTGTCACCAACACCCTTGTAGAATGTGGAACGAACACGCCATGATCTCGAAGAGTTCGGAAATAAAAGTTGGCATTCCCAATAGTGAATCGCAAGATGTCCAGAATTGAGTTTGCTTGGATATCCTCAGTATCTTCTGTAGCCCGACCGTAAAGTAGCACGTACTATAGTTTCGAGAACCCCAAAAACGCATATACAAATCGAGCTGCAAATCCCTTCATCTCCTCTTCCATCCAAGCGAGCACCAAACCTGTGTCGAAAGCCTTGCCTCCCAGACTGGTAGGCCACGAGTTGTTGCTTGTCCTTGGCAGGTCAAGTAAACCCTTTAAAGCCCTATAGTACATTAATTACACCTGCCCACCGTATAATCTTCCCAAAACCTATACCCTATGGATCGATACACGATAAAGTGAATTAATTCGGGCCCAGATTCATGTCAAAGGCTTGCTTCGAGAATCGATCACAACTTGTTGTTTTTCCATCCTCCGAACAATATACAACAAACGCTGCGTAAGCCCGTTCCAAACGACGGTCCAGCGCCCCCTGGCCAAAGCAATCTTCTTTGGCGAGTAAAACCAATCCACTGGCCGCTAAGTCCTGGCCCCATCCTAGATGAAACGTATGCATCGGGTCCGTGGCTATGCGCTGGGTTGTGAGTCCAGGCACACGTAGCAGAGCAATGTGCTCGAGATCCACGTTGTGAGGTGTTTCGTTCCTGTTCCCCACAGTACTACGCCAGAGGGCATCTTTTGAAAGGACATGCCAATCCTGGGTTCCAGTTATATGGGCCTCAATAGCATATATAGGACTAGCTTAGGATTTCGTCCAATAATTATGGGAGCAGAAACCCTTTATGACCCTATCGATTTCTGAACGCCAATTGGCCAAAACCCACGCAGGATCCTATATATACTTTTTACACATGGCATTTTGGGTGCCCTAAACCCTAAACCCTAAACCTATTAAACCCTAAACCCTGAACCCTAAATCCTACTTGGAGAGTCAGGACAATAATGGGATGCCTAGGGTTACTAAAGGGCCGGTATTCTATATAGGCCGGGTTATATATATATATATACGCCTGACCTTCCAAGTAGCCTATTACTGGGGTATAGAGGGTTAAGACTTAATACCATAAGCCCTATAAAAACATGATCAATCTATAAGCCCCCGATCCGTTGCTTCGCAAAGGTGGCACTTGTCGATGCACTGATATCCAGTGGCCAGGAGGTACGCCTGGCAGGGGTTTAGAAGGTTCTTTGGTTAACAGCGGACTTAAGCCCCATGTAGGAAACCCATAGAGGGATTAGCAATATCGCCTGCCGAAGGTATTTCCAGTCCCCTTTCCCCGCAATGCAGGCCATGTGGACATGGGCACCATTTACCTTAGGGTATCTTCATATAGGCTTGATATGCACAAATGCTTCATTGCACCATGACCAACTAGTCTAACTAATGCTGGCCAGCGGCCTCTACCCCGTAGTAGAAAGCATTGCGAGCATCTTCAGCAAATGCAGTATGCAAGTCTTGTAGAGTCTGGTTGCCAGCAAAGAGATGGGATGAAATACAATTCGTCAAGAATCTTGTTGTGAAGGAATGCCTCTTGAAGAAGGTCCCCATACACGTAGAATAAACTAGCATACCCATCTTTATAGGTCTCGTAATATTATAACATATATTACGTACTCTTGCAATTGAGATACCCCGACTCATTTGTAGAAAACATTCCATTTCTCCCAATTATGGGTTGGAAGGATTCCACTAAATAAGGCTTGGCTCGCAATCCTCGCCCTTCATCACCATGATGAGCAAAGGGAATAACTCGCTCAAGGTCCAGGCCTGTACGGAACACCTCATGTGTAGGGTCAATGCTTTCATAGCACGACCAGAAGGTTGCAAACTGATGTTGCCAGCCATCAGCATCCTCCAACGAAAACCCGCCCAAAAGGTAGGAGGGATTCTTGCTCAAGATGGCCCGGGCCCAATCGGAAATACGAATCATAGGCCATTCTACAACTTCATTGTGGGGTCGCGGCTTGCGAAGTCTGATGGTAACAGGTACCGTTGTAAGAGCCACAGGAAACTGGGCACCAGATTTATGCAGGAGCCGATGTAAATTTCGACAAATGTTCGTCCGACTCACCCCAGCTTTTGCAATCCTCTGAAGTAGGCCATGCTTGCCTCCTTAGTTACATCATATGGGCTTATAGTTCCATTTTACCTACCATCATAAGGATTGGCCATTAAGATCAATAAGTTCGCTATGATAGTCTTAGTTACATCCCAGCCAAGTCTCGATGTTTGCCAGCGCGGCATATCATGTTGGCAATCTTTGTAGTGCGGTAGGCGGATTCTCCCTTGGATAGATCAACGGCAACTGCAATTAGGGTTTATAAGGTTATGTAGAGCTCATAGGGTGCAGGGTTTAGGGTCCGGGGATTGAATTATATAGGTGCCAGCAAGAGACCCCATGCATGTAGTCATAAAGAAGTTCATTGGCCAATTCATCCTCGGAATCTTGCTCACCTGCGTGTCACTCAAGCTAATAAGCATAAAGGGCTGAATGCACTTGGGATAGGCCTGCTGTAGCAGCAGGACCAAGTAAACGTTGGAGTGTGCGTCCACCTGGCATGTTGCAGGAAAGCTACTTCCCGATGATGAACAATGCAGAAGGAGCCGCTGCCATTCTTTTGCACCCCACATGTCATCAATGCACCGTCGGCACACATGTACTGTGTGTAAAGGTAGAGGGCTGGTGCATTGCACGTCTTAGCACACAGGTCTTCCCACGAAATTGAGTATAATTTATAAATAGTGGTCTTGAACGAGTGGACCCTTGCACCCAGCTTTGCAGCTTTGCACTACCATGGTAGTCCACGGTTGAATTTATGTCAACCAGCTTCCAAAAAAGCTAGATCAATCAGCTAGTTGCCCCTCCTCCGCTTCTTGGAAGGCGCAGGAGCTGTAGCAGCACTAGAACGGGTCTTTGCCGGCTTTGCGGGGGTCTTACCCTTCTTTACACTAGCCCTTGACTTGGATCCACGTGCCCTTCCCTTCTTCTCCGGAGTAGGGTCTTTCTCCTTCTTGCTGGTGGGAGCTTTCATGGTCCTGGATGGGGTCCGATCTATGATAGATTCGCGAACTATTAGTTCATGTCGCATTTGGGGCTTAGGGCTTATAGATACAGCTATAGTGGCCAGTATTATATGCGACCAAAAGGCACCCAAGCTATGGCCAAACCAGACTAAGCCCAATTATACCCTATAACCCTATAAATCCTACACCCTATAAACCCTAGCTTAAGTATCCTAGAATACCCTATGAGCCCTGTAACCTATAGCTCCCATCTATTATACCCTATAAACCCTATAGACCCTATAGCCTATATATAACCCTATAAACTCTATAAATCCTATGAACCCATGAACCCTTATACACCCTAAACCCCAGCCTTGCCCGAGACATCAGATTGTTAATGGCAACGTCAGCCTTCGTGCAAGCAATAAAGAGCCGCATCAACTGCTCTTTGTAGGACCTGGGCGATGCAAAGAGGATCTACAAGGCAAAGAATGATCAGGGCTGCGAGGGATTAGGGCTTAAGTTTATAGGTTTTGTGTTGTACGAGGATACGGTTTTGTCCCGATTAATATGGGGTTCTAGAGGCTATAAGGTTTATAGGGATTATCGGGTTATAGGGCTGAAGGCACAGACCTCGAAGGGTTCTCCATGATGCTGGTTTGGGCATCGAGCAAGCTGTCGTAGATCTTCTGGTACTTCTCAATCTGGGCATCCATTTCTTGAGCCAGCCTGCGCAGCAGGGGCTTTAAGATTCCATTCTCTATGCACCCCCCAAATCAGGTCAACCCTTCATGCAGTTCCTGCCTTGCAGCACGCTCCACACCAAGATTGTCGAGTCTCTCCTACCACATTAATTAAGGAATTAATATTCATAGGCACTATGTGAACATACGAGCTGGGCACATGTACGCAGTCCTTAGCTTCCGCGCACTTGTCGAGCTTCTTCCCAACAACATCCACGTAGATAGGCAACAGGCCTGTAGCTTGCATTACAGTGGCCGTGGATCCATAGGCGCTTGCAAGTATGTACCCTAGAGCTTATTTACTCAAAGGCACTGTTGACATCTGCATTCTCCTGGAGAACCGGCAGCTGTAGCTGATTCTTCCCAGGCCCACTAGCCCCAGCAGACGAAGTAGTCATTTGAACCGCCCGGGCATCAGCATCAGCCCCTCTCCTAGGCCACACGCAGCACCCAAGGAAGCATACTATGTACATATGCAGAACACATAGTTTGGGCTGAGTAGCGTCATAACATCCTCGGCATTGATGTCAGAAGACAATAGAGCTTCTCCAGTAGGGTCCTGAACCGAAGGATTTTACAGGTTAGGGGTCATAGGCCATGGT